GTGTGATGTGCCTTGGTGTAATTTTCTTCATATTTCTTGTGATTGGAGTTTGTTGAGGTTTTTGTATCTCTATAGTTTTCATCGAAAGTGGAAAATATTTTGCCATTATTTCTATCCTTTTCCTTGTTGGAGACTCAATTACTAATGCTTTTTTCATTAAAAACAAAACAAAACTGTATTCTGTTTCATTTTAGATAGTTTCTGTTGCTGTATCTTCAAGTTTATAAGTCTTTTCTTCTCTAATGTCTAAACTGCTGTTAATCCTAACCACTGTATTTTTCATGTCAGACATTATACTTCCCATCTCTGGAAATTAATTTGGATTTTTCTTATGTCTTTGATCTCTCTGCTTAATTTTTTGAATACAGGTAGTCTCTGACTTACAATGGTGTTCTGTTCCAATGACTCTGTCGTAAGTCAGTTCTGAAGTAAGTTGAATGCCTTTTTTTTTTTAATTTTCATTATTATCGCCTTTTATTATCAGTATCTTTAATAAATCATAACATTGCACATCTGTGAGTGAACATCTGAGAACGATGATATCAGCAGATTACATGCTGCAGCATTGTATGTAGTACATACACTAACGATGACGTGCAGGAAAAAAAGACAGTCTTCAGTGTGGTTCATCGTAACTTGACTGTGTCATAAGTCGGAGACTACCTGTATGTGGAATAGTGTTATACTGTTATAAAAAACTGTCTTAATATTCTTACCTACTACTTCTCACATCTTTGTCATTTCTGGGCTAATTTTGATTGATGTTTCTCCTCATTATGGGTCATATCGTCTTGCCTTTTTGCATACCTCGTAATTTTTGATTGGATGCCAGACATTTTGAATTTTACCATGTTGGGGACTGTATATTTTCATATTATCATAAATATTCTTAGATTTTATCCTGGGATGCAGTTAATTTACCTGGAACCGGTATGATCCTTTTTGGATTTTGCTTTTAAGATTTGTTATGTGGACCATAGCAGTCTTTAGGGATAATTATTCTGCATTATGGAGGCACAGTCTTTCTGAGTACTCTACCCTTGTGAATTATGAGATTTTATAATTCTGCCGATGGCAATAGGCATTATTCCCAACCCTGTGTTAGTGCCAGGTACTATTCCCTCTAAGATTTTCAATGGTTCTTTGCGTGCCCTTGGATAGTTTCCTCACACATACACACTCACTGTTTGGTACTCTGCTGAATATTCAAGGGGGTTTATCTTCAGAAGTTTTCTCTCTGGTACTGTGCCCTGGAGTGCCATGGTGGCACAGTGGTTAAGAACTTGGCTACTAACCAAAAAGTCGGCAGTTCGAATCCACCAGCTGCGCCTTGGAAACCCTATGGGGCAGTTCTACTTTGCCCTATATGAGTCACTGTGAGTTGGAATGGACTCAGTGGCAACAGGTTTGGTTTTTAGTTTTCACTCTGTCCTGAGAACTCTAGCCAACTTGGTGTCCATAGACAACCTGTTCCATTTTCTCAACTTGGGGAGACTGCTAGTCTCTGCCTGGGATCCCCCCGCCTGTGCTGTAGCCTGGAAACGCTCTTCAGGCAATAAGCAGGGGAATTGGAGAGCTCATCTACTTTGTTTCTTGTCTGCTAGGTATCACTGTTCTTTGTTGCCTGATCTCTAATGTCTTGAAAATCATTGCTTCAGGTATTGTCGACTTCTTCGATTGTTTCACGCAGGAGGGTAAATTTAGCCCCTATTGCTCCATTTTGGTTAGAAATGGAAGTCTGTTTTCATTTCTTAACTAAATTTGAAGGTTAGGTATTTTATGTTTACCAACTTTTCTGTAGCCCAGGGCAATGGTAAGGAGCCCTGGTGGCGCAGTGGTTAAGCGCTTGGCTGCTAACTGAAAGGTCGACAGTTCGAAACCGCCAGCTGCTGAACAGGAGAAAGATTTCACAATCTGCTTCTGTAAAGATTACAGCCTTGGAAACCCTGTGGCGCAGTTCTACTCTGTCATGTAGGGTTGCTGTGAGACGGAATCGACTGATCGGCAACGGGTTTGGTTTTAGTTTGGTTTGGTTTTTGGCAATGGTGACAGCTGTAGGGAGGGGGACATTGTGGTGGGTGAGTCATTAAGAAGAGCTCAGTTGCGGTCTTGGGTCTTTGTTAGAATCTCTGGGTGCTGTTTTCTCTTAAGAACTTTCGTTGAACACCTTTTTCAACTAGTTGGGGATATATTTTGTTCCAATAATGCCTCTGGTTGTTTCTCTAGTTCAGTGTTTGTCCTGGAGCCTTTACTTCAGGCAGAAAGAGTGTTCAGCTATTTTTAGTAGTCCTCAGTCAAAGAGGAAGAAAAAAAAGACAAAGATAATTACAGAGTTTTCTTCTATCTATATTTGAGTATAATAGTGAAAATTATTAGGAATCTGTCATTTTTACCAGTGGGGGTTGTGGGGATTTAGTGAGCTTGGAGCTGAGCCTTGCTGTGCCTTTTTGTTTTACTAGAATGTTTGAGAGTTTCCTTGGATGTCAGTTTTTTAAATTTACTTGTTTGGCTATTTCCTTTGTTTTGTTTCTTGTTTTATAAATTGTCTTCTTTTTAAAAATGTTTAAAGAAAAAAGATGTTTTTTCCTCTTTTCATTAGATAACTTGGGAAGGAAGTTCTCTGATGTCTGCTATCTGAACCTGGAAGTCCAGCTTCCAGTCATACATTTTTGAAGAGAATAATTAATTGAAACCTGTTATTTGTGCCACAATGTTGGCTTGTAAAATGCTCTGATACAAGTGTTTAAATACAAACGATATATTAAAAAATTAGAGTAAGGAAAGTGATTTAATTTACGTCCAGTGAATTGGGTTAAAGATAACCATAAATAAATGTCTATAACTTAAGAAACACATGTTCAGGAAAGAAATTAACTAGTAATGGTTTCTTCCAACAACAAAATGTATTTGTCCTATTTCAGTGTGTTCTTTATCACTTTAGGTGGTTGTGTGTGAATACTCTGTGATGAAATTAGATGACAGAACTTTCTTGTTTCCTAGAAAGAATATAACAAAACTTATTGTTAGGAGTAAAAAGATTATAAAATATTACATATATACTCACAGTCATCCTTTATTGTTCGTTATCTCTTTTCTGCCAGAGCATAGATTATTTTGTTTGGCTTCTTAGTGGCTGTGATAGATTTGCATTGATCTATTCACACGCTGTCTTTCTGTTCCTTTTTATCAAAGTCCAGTAGAGGGACATGGAACCAAGGAAGACCGTGTGGATCACATAGGGATTGAATCTGTAATAAAACCCCCATTGCTGTTGAGTCGATTCTGACTCATAGGGACCCTATAGGACAGAGTAGAACTGCTCCATAGGGTTTCCAAGGAGCGGATGGTGGATCTGAACTGCCAACCTTTTGGTTGGCAGCAGAGCTCTTAACCACTGCGCCACCAGGGCTCCAATCTTGTAAGAAGACCATTTTATAACCATAGATTTTATGATTAAAGTAATTAGCATATGACAAAATTTAGTGCAATAATGATTAAAATTATTAGTAAAAAGTAACTCTGACTTTTGCAGTTTAAAATTTGTAGACTCTTCACCCTATTAGTTGCTTAGTTGTAATTCAAACAGAAAACAAAATGTAGTGTAGTAATTCAAATATAAAACAATGTAGTGAGGAGATATTGTCATATGAGTTTATTTCAATATAGAATAAATGCATGATAAAGACTTCTGGGCTGCTGACATTCTATTGATTTAATCTGAGTACAAGTGTGTTCACTTGGTGAAATTTCATCAGATTGTATATTTATGATTTGTGTGCTTTCTCTGTGTATGTTCTATTTCAATAAGATTAACAAAATTGCTATTAAAGTATGAAGAAACTTACCATCTTTTCTCTTTCAAGGAAATGATAATTGACAAAGTAAATGGACAGGCTGTTCCTAGATATTTGATATATGACATAATTAAATTCAATGTAAGTACCTTTTATAAATTATGAGATGCTTTTAGTTTTAAATTGTTCTAACAATATTAGTATAGTTGAAATAGAACAAATAAAAACCTATGATTACCGTACTGAGAAATCTAAAAGCAGTGATCGAAAAATTACATTTGTTCTTCCAAAAAAACCTATTTGACAAAGAAAGCAATCTACGATTTTTGTTTAAATTTCTAAACCATCCCCCCCGCCAAAAAAAAACCAAACTGACTGCCATCGAGTCGATTCCGACTCAGTGATGCCATAGGGTTTCCAAGGCTATAAATCTTTATGGAAGCAGACTGCCACATCTTTCTCCCACAGAGCCGCTGGTGGTTTTGAACCGCCGACCTTTCAGTGAGCAGTCAGTTGCTTTACCCACTGTGCCACCAGGGCTCCATTTAATTTCTGACAATTCTTCACATTATGTTATTTTGTCTTATGGTGAGGGTATCTGTGCTGTTTCACCAAAAACTTAACGTCTGTGATTTCATCCTGTATAAAATGGGGGTAAAAATACCATCTGTCTGTTTTCAGGGATGTTGTAGAATTAATATGATTTAAAAACTGTTATGTGCGAGATTGCCCATAAAATAATAGGTAAAATTTTTAACAAATAAAAAAAACTTTTGTTACTGTGGTAGAGATAGTAGGAAAGAAAAATTGTGACCCCCTCAGGTTACTCAATTGATAGCTTCTTATTAAACCAGTAAAAAACCAACTGATTCTGATTTATGGTGACCTGGACTCCCTGGGTGGTGCAAACCCTTAACGTACTTGACTGCTAACCGAAAGGTTCGAGCTTCGAGTCTACCCAGAGGTGCCTCACAAGGAAGGCCTGATGATCTACTTCTGAAAAAATCAACAATTTGAAAACCCTGTGGAACAGTTTTACTCTGACACATATGAGGTTGCCATCTTCTTGTTAATATTTTAAAATCTCCCTTTCTTTCTCTTATTGCCTAATATTTTGCACATTTCTTTGTCTTTAGGTTTCTGTATCTTCAGATAAGTAAAGAAAACCAGCTTAATTCTGATAAAATAAAACAGCATTTTGTAAAATTAGACTCTTCTTGGTTTTAGTTATCCTTATCCTGTACTTGATTTAAATAAAAAGCCCCAACATTTTATTAATCTGTCACTTAAAAAAGAGAAACTAATCATGAAGTGTTGAGTGTGTAACTTGAAGGCAAAAATACGAATACAAGCAGGAAACTTAAAATCAAAATCCAAAACTCCTTGTTGTTAATAGATATAAAAAATAGGATTTATATTCTCTACCCATTTCCTATAGCTTTATACTAGCCAAGAATCTGTTTGCCTGTTCATGTTTAATTATAGCATGAATGTATAAATTATTTAGGCAGTACAAGATGACGTCTATAAATGCAAGAAGCTCATTCAGTAGTGTATGTCTATGAAAACGTATAAATTGTTCTCTACCCCCCAAAAAACCCATTGCTGTTAAGTTGATTCCAACTCATAGCAACCCAATAGGACAGGGTAGAACTGTCCCATAGGGTTTCCAAGGCTGTAATCTTTTCGGAAGCAGACTACTGCATCTTTCTCCCGCGGAGGGGCTGGTCAGTTCGAACTGCTGACTTTTCGGTTAGCAGCCGAGAGCTTAACCACTACGCCACCAACGCCCTTAATCATTCCTGTAGACAGATATTATTCACGTTGCATAATCATTTAGTATTGAAGTCAGATTGAAAAGCATTAAGAATTCTGGAATTACAAGTTGTTCTTTTTTTTTAAGTTTTAAGGTTTTGAAGACTTTTAAGAAAAAATTTAAAAGCTGTTTTTTGGAATGTATTTTATTATAATAAATTTCTGTATTAAGATTCAGGAATTGTCTTTGTCCAGGCTACTTAAAGGCTTTTTTCCCCACTCTGGGAAATTTCAGTGTAGTACATGTATCATTTTTTAGATTGAATTCCTATATTTGAAGCATAGAGCTTCAAACTTAAGAACCTCAAGGACAGAAAAGATCATTTTGTTTTTATTCTGTTTGTGACTACTGTATTCCTCAAAAATAATGCTTCCCAGAGTTGGCTTAATCTTATCACAGATCTTAGAGTAATGTTCACTGGCTCATAAAGAAAAATAAGGGGTGGGGTGCCTTTGTTTCTTTGTAAATGGGGGAGTGCTGTCTCCTGTGCCTCTGGATATTGAGCTCCTACTTTAATACGTGTTCAGTGCAGGTTCACTTTCTAGTCCGTCTTAGACAATAGACTTCTAATACTGTAAAAAAGTATGAAAAATTTAAGGATATATGAAAGTATAGAGACTAATATAAGGAATACTCATGTACTAACCACCCATATTTGTCAGATCTTAACATTTTTGCCCCATTTTTTAATAAGAAAGAAATAATTACAGATCCAGTATTGTCTCATTTAATTCAGGCACAGCCAGTTGGAGATTGTGATTTTAATACTCGTCTGCAGTGTATAGAACGAGAAATAATAAATCCTCGACATGAAAAAATGAAGACTGGTCTCATTGATAAAACACAAGAACCATTTAGTGTCAGAAATAAGCCATTTTTTGACATCTGTACTTCAAGAAAGGTAAAGTTTACTGTTTTGTTTTCTAATTAGTGCTTGCAGTGTATCATAATTGAGCTTGTCATAGGAATATGAATGACATTTTGCTGCCGAATTGTCTTGACTTTACTTGAGTTGATATGGCAGTATTCTGGCCACCCACCCATTGCCATAGAGTCAATTCCGACTCATAGTGACCTTGTAGGACAGAGTAGAACTGTCCCATATTGTTTCCAAGGCTGTAATCTTTACAGAAGCAGAGTGCCACATATTTCTTCCTCAGAGCAGCTGGTGGGTTCAAATCGCCAACGTTTCAGTTAGCAGCCCAGTGCTTTAACCACTGCTTCACCAGGGCACCTTGACATATGTAATTCCTAGGCCTTCTCGCCTTTAGTTTGGTTCTAAATGGTACAAACTTAAGGTAGGTTGCTTCCTGTTTCTCATATAGTTTTTGATTCATGGCCGTTGGTCCATATTATGGTTTTTAAAAAGCTGTAAATAGTATAGGATTCTAGCGAGTGAAAATGGCTTTTTTGCCTTCTGCTCTTTCTGGAGGTAAACAGTGTTTGGTACATATTCTTTCCGATAGAAAAAATCATTTACATATGTATGTATACACACACACACACACACACACACACACACACACACACACACATTGAAGGTTTCATTTATTTTTGTTGTTTTGATGCTTAAAATGGATCATACTGAAATGTCTGGGACTTTTTTTTTCTACTTACCGATATAGTTTGGAGACATTTCCATGTCGTTGTACAGAGATGTGCCACGTTATTTTCTAACTGCTGCATAGTATTCGACAGTAAAAATGAACCATATTTATTTTCTTATTGATGGACTTAGATTATTTCTAGTGTTGTGCTATTACAGTGTTACAGTAAACATCTTTGCCTATATGGGTGGTTATTCCTTCAGGGTAGATACCTAGAAGTGGAATTTTTGGTTTAAAAATTATGGATAATGTTGGTAACTACTCCAAATTGCCTTTCAAATAGAGCAGTTTTGTCTCCAGCAGATGAGAGATCTCATTTCCTCATGCCATTCCCAATACTCTCTTCCTTCCTTACTTGTGGGCAAGGCAGTGTACTGTAATGTGAAAGTTAGCATGAGTTCTAGAGCAGAACACTGGTTGTTTCCTTACTCTGCTTCTTACTGGCTTTGGTATCTTTTCTAAGATACTTAACCTCTCCTGCCAAAGTTCACTCATTTGTAAATTAATAGTAAGGTTGTCGTACGAATTTAATGAAGCAATTTTATTATGGGTTGCAAATACTATCTTCCAGTCTGTTGCTATATTTTTATTATTATTATTTTATATATAGTGTTTTTTCATGAATGAAGAGTTCAATTTTTATGTAGTCAAACTTTGTATTATTTTCCTTATATCTTCTTGCTTAATAAGCCCTCTATTTCCAAAATGTTTTCTTATATTATTTTCTAATACTGTCATGGTTTTGTTTGTAGATACATTTAGATGTTCTATTTAAATTTTTCTACTATTTTTATATTATTTTTGAAATAATAGGATAAATTGAGAAATCCACAACCATAAGAAAGATAATACCTTTCTCTATTTATTCCAGAGACTAAGGGGTAAAGAGCATTTTATAATGTTATATATATTATGCCTTTCTACTTGGAAATTTAGAAATACTCTTGTAACTAACACTTATCTTAAAATCAAGGAAATACAATTCATTTATCTAAAAAATATTTTTTGAATGCCTCTTATATACTGTGTACTGTTGTAGGTGCAAGAAATAGTGCAGTTAAACCAGAAAAAACAAAGCCCTGCCCTTGTGGTACTTACATTCTAGTGGGAAAAGAATAACAAACAAAATAAGTAAATTATACAGTATGTGAGAAAGTGATAAGTGATCTGCAGAAAAATAAAACAGAAGATGGAGCTAGGCAGTGCTGGGTGATGATAGCGGTGGTGCAGTTTTAAAATGATGATTAAGTTAAGTCTTACTGCGGATGACATTTGAGCGAAGACTTGAAGAGGGAGAATGTTGATATATGGGAGAAGAGTGTTCTTGGCAAAGGCAAGAGTAAGTACAGAGGCTTCAAGATGGAAGATACAAGGGTGCTTGAGGAACAGAAAAGAAGCCAGGATTAGAAATGGAGTGAGTGAGGGGGAGTATAATTTGAGAGGGAGATAAGTGAGGGAGAGTATAATTTGAGAGGGAGATAAAAGTCTGAGAAAGTACCAGATCATATAGGGTCTTGTAGGCCATTGTAAGCATTTTGGCTTTTATTCTAGGGAGGTGGCCATTTTTATTCTGAGAATGGGGTGTTGTAGTGGAAGCACCACATGGTCTGTCTAGGTTTAAAAACAAAGGGTTTTATTATGGCAAAGAAAGTGTTCTGCAAAATGGGGAGACAGTGCCGAGAAAAATCCAACAATGTGTTTTGGGTGAGGATGGAGGAGCTACAGTAATACAAAGACTTATGAAGAAAAAAAACCACAAGCAGTAGATTACAACTAAAACAGTATTGATTGGTTAATATATACAAAACTGAAGGTGGTGGTTCCTCGGTTGAGCATCCTGGCACGTGTTGACATCTTTTGCAAGGATGACTAGATAACAGGATTCTGGCTGACCACTAAAACCACATGTTTTCTGGCATCTAGACATATGTAGTCTATGCTAAATTGAGTTACTTTAGCATTAAGATGGAGGATTCTGTTGAAATATAAAACAAAAAGTTCTAGGATGGTTATATCTAATGCTTAAGGAGTGAAATGATTTTTGATACAGAAAAGCTATAACTTTGTAATATTAGTTTATTTTAATTATAAGTTTTAAGAGGGGTTAGACCGAACAAGTTTATAAAGAAAATGTAAGGACCCAAGGATAAGTTAGAAAGACATTTTTGAGAGAAGGGGAAGGAGGCATTTTATGAGAACTGGCACAGTGGTGTGAAGCCCTGGTGGCACAGTGGTTAAGAGCTACGGCTACTAACCGAAAGGGTGGCTGTTTGAATCCACCAGCCATGCCTTGGAACCCTATGGGGCAGTTTGACTCTGTCTTGTAGGGTCACTAGGAGTAGGAATCGACTCGACGACAATGGGTTTGGCATAGTAGTTAGGCCACATGTTTCGCTCTTCTAACACCTGTGTGGTCTTGAATTATCTCTTTTTAGCATCAGCCATTTTCTAACCGCAAGCGCTTCCTCTGGCAGAGTTGTTGTTGTTAGGTGCCGTAGAGTCAGTTCTGACTCATAGCAACTCTGTGTACAACAAAATGAAACACTGTCCAGTCCTGCACCACCTTCACAATCGTTGTTATGTTTGAACCTGTTGTTGCAGCCACTGTGTCAGTCCACCTCATGGAGGGTCTTCCTCTTTTTTGCTGACCCTCTACTTTACCAAGCATGATGTCCTTCTCCAGTGACTGGTCCCTTCTGATAACATGTTCAAAGTATGTGCCATCCTTGCTTGTAATGAACATTCTGGCTGTACTTCTTCCAAGACAGATTTGTTCATTCTTCTGGCAGTCCATGGTATATTCAATATTCTTTGCCAATATCTTAGTTCAGAGACATCAGTTCTTCAGTCTTCCTTATTCATTGTCCCGCTTTCACATGCACATGAGGTGACTGAAAACATCATGGTTTGGGTCAGGCGTACCTTAGTCCTTAAAGTGACATCTTTGCATTTTAACACTTTAAAGAGATCTTCTGGAGCGTATTTGCCCAGTGCACTGTGTCGTTTGATTTCTTGAGTGCTGTTTCTGCGGGTGTTGATTGTAGTTCCAAGTAAAATGAAATCCTTGACAACTTCACTATTTTCTCAGTTTATCATGATGTTGCTTATTGGTCCAGTTGTGAGGATTTTTGTTTTCTTTTTATTGAGGTGTAATCCATACTGAAGGCTGTGGTCTTTGATCTTTCACATCCTGTTTATTTTCTGCAAGCAAGGTTGTGTCATTGGCATATCACAGGTTGTTGATGAGCCTTCCTGCGATCGTGATGTACCATTCTTCTTCATATAGTTCAGCTTCTCAGATTATTTGCTCAGCATATAGATTGAATAAGTATGGTGAAAGGATACAACCCTGACACACACCTTTCCTGACTTTAAACCGTGCAGTATCCCCTTGTTCTGTTCGAATGACTGCCTCTTTGTCTAAGTACAGGTTCCTCCTGAGCACAATTAAGTGTTCTGGAATTCCCATTCTTTATAATGTTATCCATAATTTGTTATCCACACAGTTGAATGCCTTTGCATAGTCAATAAAATAGAGGTAAACATCTTTCTGGTATACTCTGCTTTCAGCCAAGATCCATCTGACATCAGCATTGATATCCCCGGTTCCACGTCCACTTCTGAATCCATCTCGAATTTTGGGTAGTTTCCTGTTGATGTACTGCTGTTACCTCTTTTGAATGATCTGTCACAAAATTTTACTTGTATGTGATATTAATGATATTGTTCGATAATTTCTGCATTCTGTTGGGTCTCCTTTCTAGCAGAGTAGGGAGGAAGAAATGACAAGCTGCAGTATTTGACAGAAGAACTCCAAGATGGAGTCGCTTAGGACAAGAAAGGATTGGGCTCAGACTCTAGTGAGAAATCCCAGTTTCACCAAGGGTTTTAGCTTTGGAATGCTCTTTGTCAGGTGCTGCTGAAAGATTTTTAATAGATCTGACTTAGGTTTTAACAGGATCATGCTGGCTCTTATGTTGAGAATAGAGTGTAGGAGGGGCAAGGGCAGGAGCAGGGAGACGAATTAAGAAGAAATTTCAATAATCCTGGTGAGACACAATGAGAGTTTGGACTAGGATTGTAGTAGTGTAGATCTAACGGAGTTTGTTGATTGATAGTATATGGGGTATGAGAAGGAGAGAGGATTATGGTTGACTTTTGGCCTGAGCAACCGCAAAGAGGGAGTTACCATACTATGAGATGGAAAAGACTGCTAGAGGAACAGATTTGAGGTGCTGGAGAGAATAGGAGTTCAGATTTGGAAAACTATGTTATATGTCTGTCTAGTTAGTTT